ACATACATACATACATACATACATACATACATACATACATACATACACACATATATATATACACACACATATATAACATATATATGTTATGTAAAATTACTTTTTAAAGTGGTGGAAAATTCATAGCTATGCTTCTGTGTTGGTACTGATAGTATAAGGTTAAATTATGAATTTCTTTTTCTGCTAAGCCTAGGGAAAAGGCTAACTGTGTATGAGAACCTGAGTTCAAAGCCTCAGAATGTGCACACAGATGTTCCCACAGAACCGTAGATGATATATGTCGTTCCACACCTGTGCTCTCTGGGGAGTAACTGCCATACCGCCTTTCCCTGCCCCCAGGATGCTGGGTGGGAAACTGACCATTTCTCCTGCAGGCCAGTCCAGGTACTGTTTGCTTCTGGACAGGAACAGGGGAATCCCCGGTATGAAAGGTTCCATTTCTCTCAGGAACATCTAGAGGTTCCGGGTGCATCCTGAGCATTAGGCAAGGCTTCCAGTCTCACTAGGGGAGGTGGAAGTGAGTTTTCCACTGGGTGTTACGGTGAGCTCTTTTAAAATGAGATTGCTGCTACCAGATGGCAGTGGAAATTCAGGAGTTGCAAAAGCCTGTGATGATAATGCAGTGACATTGCCCTTCTTTAAGCTGCTGTATTAACTGCAGGGGTATGGGGGAAGGCCCGAAACAGACCTGAAGGCAGGAAGGCGGGTCAGTAAGATGCAGTTCCGGATGGGATGCAGGTCAGTGGCTGCCGAGGCAGTTCCACACACCAGTGAATGGTGGAAGCTTTCAGAGCAAGGAGCTTGTGGCCGACTGACTAGCAGCCAGGCCCCTGGCTGCCTAGAAGCTCCTGTCGGTCTGGCCTGTCTGATTGGCAGCCAAGCCTTGGGAATTCAGCAGCAATACTTTCCCCAGAATAATCGATGAATCACAGGCAGTCATGGTAGAGAAATGGATAAGAGAGCTTTATTTCCTGGATAATCCTTGGGCAGTGGGAGGAATTTTGAGGGTGAATGTGTTTGGTTCTCTCGGGCTAGGGGTGCCAGGGATACTTAATCTACATGTAACAAAACAGCTCTATTATAAGAGGGGAAAGCAGTACTTAATTATCTTAAGGGTGGCAGAGACTCTCCAGGTATAGTTAAAGGTCATTGGCTGAGAGCCAAGACTTATTAGTGTAGCGAATCCCCAGGCAGTTGCTGAACAGGTTTCTTATCAAGAAGGGGTCCAGCCTGTAATCTTCCCTGAGACCTATTGATGCTCCTTAAGGGATCTGGTGTTCCCCAGATCAGGGAAGAGGGAACCCCACTGAGAAAGGGAGTCTAGGTCTACATAGACCTAGCTCAGAGGCTATCCGGAAATGGCAGGCTTAGACCGTAATAACAGTGTTCACACTCATAAAAATTCGCAAGTAAAAAATATGTTAAAAATTTTGTACATTTTTATCATGCTTACATCTCTCTCTGTCTTCTAGCCATCCTCTTTTTATTTCAGTAAGATTTCTTCCAGATAAAGTAGTTCTTTCTCCAGTTAATATTCAAGGAACAAACACATTAATCTATTTCAGGAATTTTCTTTCTTGTGAAGCTTGTACATAAAATTTTGAACATATGTACTTAAATATGTTTTAAGTCTGTTTGTTAATCTTAGGCTATTTTTATTGTGTCTAGTATTCTTATTGTCTTTATTTTATATTACCAGGGACCTTATTGAAACAGTCCGTTAAACTAAAAGCACGACTTTACGAGAGTCCTTAGAGACTACCCTTACTTCCAAATCAGCCTTAGCCAACTAATTTGTGCGCACATTTCTGATGGTCCAGATTGGGTTTCTTGCTCAACTGTGTTTTTACAAATTCTGTTTATATGCAGCCAAATTAAATAGCTAATAAGATTGAGATCTAGTTCCTACCTTGAATACCTAGAATGATCCATGTATTTTAAGATATGCATCTAATATATTCTAGTGTCCAGGCAAAAATATTATTGGTAAATACTTCATTATTCAAAGAGTCATGATTTGGATGAAAAATAATAGTTAGTTAGAACAGAGGCATTTTAAAAATTATTTATTTACTTTTTTAATTATAATATAATTGAATAGTTCCCTCCTTCTCTTTCCTCCCTCCAAACCCTCCCATATACCTGTCCTTGCTCTCTTTCAAATTCACAGCCTCCTTTTTTCATCAATTGTTGTTACATACATATTTATATACATAAATATAACCTGCTCAGTTTATATAATGTTTCTTGTATGTCTTTTATACTTCTTTTAAACAGTGGAGAAATTTAAAGCACCCGAATTGTCTTACTTTGGTGGTTTTTTCAAACATATGTACCTAATTTAATGCCAAGTTTAGAATTTGCTTCAGATATTTAGACATAAGAAGCCCTTGATTTTTTTTGTCTTGTATTTGTCAATTATTTGTTTTCAGATTATATTTCTTTTGTTCTGTGATTATTTTTAGGAGTATCCCTTCTCATTCCCACATTCATTATTATCTCTAGATTTCATTGAATGTATTTCACAATATCAGTATGAAGTGAGCCACACCAATTTTTAGCGATCTCCAAGGATGAGAGGTTATTAGAAATAGTACTAACTTTCAGCTAGCTAGCTATAAAGCACTGAAGCTCACATCACAGCAGTGCAGCCAGTTCCATTTCATGGTGAAATGTAAATGTGTCTTGGTTTTTCAGTTTATGCAATGGATTATTATGCTGATTTTCTGATCAGGTTTGTTTGTTTGTTTGTTTGAGGTTTTGCAGGTTTTTTTTTTTTTTTTTTTTTTATTTACTTTTTTAGTAAATCCAAGACAATTCTGGAAAAAAAAATCAAATTTATGTCAAACAATACTATTTTAATGTTTTTCCTATCTCTTAAATTATCTGCTTCTGCGAATTAAAGTAGTTGAAAACAATGTTATGTTCATGCTTAAGAGAAATTTTCTTTTTCTATGTTGGTAAGGTTTTTCTGGATATGACATTTGGTTCAGGAGGACACACAAAAGCCATGCTGCAGAAGGAGCCCGATATTACTGTCTATGCCTTAGACCGAGACCCAACGGCTTATGCTATAGCTGAGCAGCTTTCAGAAGTATATCCGTAAGTAAAACTATTTAATTTTGGTGCTGAGTCTTACCAAGTTTGGTTTATGTCCGTGAAATTTCCTTTACTTTGAATGTTGTTCTGTTTCCTTCCTACTGGCTATTTCACTGTTCACACCCACCCCTGCAAAAGAAAGAATCAATATAAACAATGTTTTTCGTGCCATATAAATTAATGGCATTAATGCATGTAACCTTTCTAAATCTGTGGGATTAAAATATAAAAAATGATTCCAGCATACAAGAGTAAAGAGACTTGGAAATTTTCCACAAAAAAATATTTTGGCAATTAACATATTGTTAGGAAATCATCCTTTTTAGCTTTGTTTAGTGATGTTTACCTCTTGTGCATACTGTTCACCAAGCTGAGGCCAGTTGATCTCAGTTTTGAGCCTGGAAACTCAAGGCCTCCTGGACAAGATATGAAGCCATCTTCTTAAAATATTACATAACACAATACAAGGCAAAAATTTAGTAGTTACTGTGAATAAATTTATCAAATTACATTAAGGAGATCTTTCAGAGTTTATGTGTCAGTATTACACTAATGCACCTGTTTCTTTTTCTGGATTATTTCTGAAATTATTTACAGAGTGATTTATCCTTTTGGTTGAATGAATGAGATCTCACTCAGCCACCTTAAATAAATAAACAGGATCACAGAGATGGCCCAGCAGTAAGTGTGCATGCCTCTAGGCCTGCATTTGAAGTTCAATCCCCACATGACAGAAGGACAGGACGAACTTCTACAAATTGTTCACTGGTCTGTAATCTCCCCCTTCATGCCACAGCACACTCACGGCTTAAGGAACAATCATCCTTTAAAGAAAGAGTGTTTTACACACTGAAATCTATATAGTGTGGTGTTTATATGACTTCCTATCAGAAGAGAAAGTATCATGGAGCTTAGCTGACTGTCTCCAGATTCAAGGAGTATTTTCAGGAATGAGGATTTTTATTCTCTCATGCTTGGCATCTGGAACTAGGAAAACTGACTAGAATTTCAATGTATGTGAACTCATTATTATTACTGCTATCTTAACAATGAAATGCTGGTTTTGGTGGAACCGCATAGTGTAGACACGGGAAAGCTTATCCAGAGTCTAAGAAAAGAGATATGCCATATTTAGGTCGGTAGTATTTCCCACTGCTTCTCTCAATTAAGTTCTCAGTAATGTACATTCTTCTGAAAGTGTATCACCTCGATCTCATGTTCCCTTTGCTTCTAAAAAAATTTTAAGAATGTATTTTAACAACATGAATGATTCTCTGTTTCTGCAATGTAACAGAGATGTTATATTTTAAGCAGATTTTATTTTACCAAGTTTAATATTTTTCACTGGTAGATGTGGAAACTGTTAGTGTTAGACATATAAAAGAAATATTATTTAGCTACCTGTTTTTTTTAAATTCCATGTTAAACAAAAGAATATGAGAAATAATTTCAGTTTTTCCTTCCTTCCTTCCTTCCTTCCTTCCTTCCTTCCTTCCTTCCTTTCTTTCTTTCTTTCTTTTTTTCTTTCTTTCTTCTTTTTGTATATGTGTATGTGTATGCCACAATGCACATGTAGTGGTCAGAGAACACCTTGTGGAAGTTCTTTCCTTCTACAATGTGAGAACATAGAGTCAAACTCAGGTTCTATGGTTTGATGGCAAGCCTTTTACCCACTGAGCCATCTTGCTGGCTCAAGGAAACAATCTAAATATAAAATATTACTTAAATTATGGACAATTGGCCATTATTTTCTATAAAGGTATTAGTTAAAGTAATATACATGGATTTAACTTTTATATTTATAAATTTAAAAGGCCTGATGAACGTAAATAAGAATCTTAAAGGGGAGGGAGGGTAGGATCGGGAGGGGAGAAGGGAGGAGCTTATGGGGGGGATACAAAGTGAATAAAGTGTAATTAATAAAATAAAATTAAAAAAAAGAATCTTAAAAATATTCATTCATCTTTTTGTTATATTTATTTGACCAATACTTTAAATCCTCAAATAAAGGCTAAAGAAATGGCTCAGCCATCCAAAGAATGTACTACTCTGGCAAAAGTTCTATTTTCCATTCTCAATACCCGTGTAGGGCTGGTCAGAAGCTCCATAGGATCCAATGTCTTCTGCATTTTGCTGATAGCATGTACCTTATTCACACATGTACCTTATTCCTACCCCTACAAACATTTCTTCACCCATACACGTACACATAATCAAAAACCCGTTTTCCTGAAACACATTTATCTATGTAATCTACCTTTAGAAAACATCTTAACTTCATATTAACTGATATTTGTTACTCATTTGAATGATGTATTCTTTAATTTATAGTAGATAAAAAGGACATCTGTTCAAATAAAAAAACAAAGGAAACTTGTGTGACCAGATGTCAGGTCATGCTGTAAAATGACTGTAATGAACTCAGTATGACACATATTGAGAATAGACTGAGTGGGTTGGTAGAGAATTGGGAAACAAATTTCACTAAATAAAATAATTTAATGGAAGATACAAATACATATACTCATTGAGAAAGCAGCATAATATTTTAATAAATAGGACTGAAATGCCTTTTAGCTTTATAGAAACAGTGGCCCTTTATTTTTATATTGTATTAAAAAGTGATTTCCAACAGAGGGAAAATATATGAAAAAAATGGTAATAAAGTTCCTAAAAGAAAACTGAATAGACCACCTAGGTAATTTAACTATGAAAAATTTGCCTAATTGCAGTAGCAAACCTATAAATAGTAACTTAGGAATCATATTCTGTAAAATAAAATTCTAGCTATAATGTGGCTATGCCAAAATCATTTCTGGGAATATTGGGTGTCTGGGTGTTTGATTTAATGGAATGACATTTTATCTTCTGAAACAAGTAATCACAGTTTTTCTTAAATTACACAACAGAATAAGTTGACATTTTAACGCAAACATCTTTTGAGAATATAACAATAATTACTTCACTTCATGTATTTATGTTGCTCTCATTTTAAAACTTTACATTTCTGAAATTTTTCATATTCTTTACCATGTCAAAACTATGTTAGAAACCAGCATTTTCTCTGAAAACTCAGCAATTCTTGTGAATAGAGAATTTTCTGTTAACTAATTTAGCTCGTTCAGAAAAGATGACATGTTCGATTGCCTGCCTTTAGAAAGCAGGACCCTTCCCCTGTTTCTGAAGACTAAGTTGAGGAATCACACTCAAATTGGAGCAGCAGGGCACTCATTTAGTCTCAGCTTATTGGAAGATGGAGGTTGGAGGTGATTTAAAAATACATAGGATTCTTTTTAATGCCTTGAAGAATATGTGTTCCATATATATAAATTCAGAAAATATAGAAATGTTTGAAGAGGGAAATAAAAATTATGTTGATTGTATCATTGGGTTATAATTTTAAAGGGTAGCTTTTATTGTATTAAGTAATTTTTAAAAGAGAGCATCTTCAACAAATGGGGCTGGTCTAACTGGATGTTTACAAGTAGAAAAATGCAAATAGCCCCATATTTATCACCCTACACAAAGTTAAAGTCCATGTGGATCAACAACCTCAACCTAAAACCAAACACACTAAACCTGCTAGAAGAAAAAGTGGGGAGAGCCTTGACCTCATTGGCACAGGAGACAACTTCATGAAGAGAACACCAACAGATCAGGCTCTAAGGTCAATAATTTATAAATGGGATATCATAAAATGGAAAAGCTTCTGTAAAGCAAAGGACACTGTCATCAGAAGAAGGGACAGCTTACAGACTGGGAAAAGATCTTCACCAACCCTACATCTGACAGAGAGCTAATATCCAGAATATATAAAGAACTGAATAAGTTAAACACCAACAAACCAAGTAATCCAATTTAAAAATGGGTTACAGAGCTAAACAGAGAACTCTCAACAGAGGAATATCTATTGACAGAGGAACACTTAAAGAAATGCCTAAAGCCCTTAGTCATTCAGGAAATGCAAATCAATATGACCCTGAGATTTCACCTCACATCCATCAGAATGGCTAAGATTTAAAACTCAAAGGATGATGCATGCTGGAGAGGATGTGGAGAAAGAGGAACCCTCCTCCATTGGGTGGGAATGTAACCTTGTACAACCACTTTGGAAATCAATCTGTTGCTTCCTCAGAAAATTAGGAGTAGTGCTACTTCAACATCCAGCTATACCACTCCTAAGCATGTACCAAAAGGTGCCCCGCAATTCATTAAGGACATTTGCTCAACCATGGTCATAGCAGCTCTGTTCTTAAAAGCCAGAATCTGGAAACAACATAGATGTCCCTCAACTAAGGACATCTAGGCACAGAAATTGTGGTACATTTACACAGTGGAATACTACTCAGCAATTTAAAACAAAGAAATCATCAAATTTGCAGGCAAATGGTGGGAACTAGAGAAGATCATCCTGAGTGAGGCATCCTAGAAGCATAAAGACACAAGATATATACTCATTTATAAGTGGATAAGAATCATATAATATATGGATAAACATACTAAAATCTGTACAACTAAAGAAGCTAAACAAGAAGGACCCTGGGTAAGATAATCAATCCTCATTCAGAAGGGCAAAATGGATAGACATCAAAAGTAGGAGAAGACAAGAAACAGGATAGGAGCTTTCCACAGAGGTCATCTTTTTTTTTTTTTTTTTAAAGATTTATTTATTATGTATACAATGTTTTGACTGCATGTACACCAGAAGAGGACACCAAATCTCATTATAGTTGGTTGTGAGCCACCATGTGGTTGCTGGGAATTGAACTCAGGACCATCTGGAAGAGCAGCCAGTACTCTTAAACCTCTGAGCCATCTCTCCAGCCCAAGGTCATCTTAAAGACTCTGCCCACCAGGGTATCAAAGGAGTTACTGAGATTCATAGCAAAACTTTGGGTGAGTGTGGGAATCCTTATGAAAGAATAGGGAGATAGAAAGACCTGGAGGGGACAGGAACTCCACAAGGACAACAACAGAGCCAAAATACCTGGGCTGCAGAGTCC